AGACAGCGAATTTGAGTAAGGCAATCAGATGTGGAATAGACAGTATTGCCAGTTTGATTTCATCTTCACCCATTCTTGCGAATTGGACTTCCCAGCTGGGACCACAATTAGTGATCTGGTCTGTCTGATTTTTGCCCTTCACAATCTAAGGACAAGGAGATCACTTGTAATAGACCTACTTCCACCTCAATGACAGCAGTATAAATAAGAAATCAAATTCAAAACCTGTTTGGGCCAATTATTGGCCTACATGCTTCATTTACTCAGTGAACCAACAGGAGTCTCTGCCTATTTTGAAAATCAAGATAGCTTGAGATGTCTTTCAAATTTGCAATAGCCCTATTCATGAGCCTCAAAAACCCACTACTTCTTCCATAGTACAAAGATATAATATTTCAGGGAGATTTCAAGTAACTTCCTCTGTAAGGAAAGACAAAGTTATTTTTCTATTTTCTCTATTATTTCCAATTATAAATTCTTCAGTCTCTGCCATTGATAAACCCAAATTTTTGTTAATATTGACCTTTTTACATAACTATGAATTGTTTTACTTTTTTTTTCTAAAAAACACTTTCAGGATAGATGAGTATCACTTGCTGGGCCAAGATTTAATATTCATTCCTAACAGTTCGAGAAGGTGGCAAGCTGCCTTCTTGAATTGCTGCAGTCTTTTGGCATAAATACACCCACAATGCTGTGAAAGAGGGTGTTCTGGAGTTTTGAACTACCAGCACTGAAGAACAGAGGATTTATTTTCAAATCTGGATGGTAAGTGGCTTGGAGAAACAAAAATCTTGCAGGTGGTAGTGTTCCCATGTATCCAAGGTCCTTGTCCTTCTAGATTGTAGAAGATGTGGGATTGGAGGGTGCTGCAGTTTTGCTAAATTTCTGCAGTGCATCTTATAGATGGCATACACAGTGTCATGGAGCATCAGTGGTGGGGGGAGTAAATGTTTGTGGATCTAGTACCAATCAGCAAGTTCCTTTGTCTTCAATGCTATCAAGCTTCTTGACTGTTGTTCAAACTATACTCATCCAGGCAAGTGGGGATTATTTCATCACACTCCTGACTTGCACTAGATAGTAGACAGACATTGGGCAGTTGGGTGATTTGGTTGCTGCAGGATTCTTAGCGTTTGTCCTACTCTTCTTTTATTAGCCACTGTTGATTTAATTTATGGTTTTGTACCTAATAAGGAACTTGTATACACTAAATGTATGGCTCATCCAATCCAATCAATGGTAACACCCAGGATGTTGATAGAGGATTCAGTGATGATAACATCATTGAATGTCAAGTGCTGAAAGTTAGATTCTGTCTTATTGGCGATGGTCATTGCTTGGCATTTGTATAAAGTAAATGCCACTTGCTACTTGTTAGCCCAAGCCTGGATATTGTCCAAGTCTTACTGCATTTGGCCATGGACTGCAGTAGTATCTGAAGAGTACTGAATATTGCTGAACATTGTGTAACCATCAGCAAACATCCCACTTCTGATCATTTTATGTTTCTTGCAAGCTTACATTAATTTTCTAGTTTTCATTTTTGTTTCTTTGGTGAATTGTAAAACATGACTGATCCTTGGGCATACTGCCTTTTTGACAACTTTGTAAGCCTCCTCCTTTCAGCTAATGAAGTCTTTACCTTCTTTTGTTAGCCACTGTTGATTTAATTTATAGTTTTACACCTAATAAGGAATTTGTGTTCATTGTCAACCATGTTTGATTTGTTTTTTTTTTGAACAGTCACAATTGCCTGTCTACTGTTGCAACTTTTAATGTATTTTCCCATCCACCAACCAACTCGTCCCTCATACCTTCATAGTTTCCTTCGGTAATATTTAGAACTTAAAACAGTACAACATAGGAACAGGTCCTTCAGCTCACCATATCTGTGCTGAACATGATGCTATTCTGAACTAATCTCATCTGCTTGCACATGGTCCATACCCCTGTATTCCTTACCTGTTCATGTGTCTGAGAAAATGCCTCTTAAAATGTTTAAAGACGTTAGTTTTGGATTGAACTATATCATTTTCAAACTGAAGATAAAATTATACTATATCTCAGTCATTGCTCTCAATGTTCTTTTACAATCTAAAGCATATTTCCCATTTGCAGTCATAAGAAGCATATTGAATCCTGCTATGCTAAGACACATATCAGAAAGGTTAATACTGGATACATTGTCAAAAGTGATTAGTTCTGCCGGGCTGATTTGCAATACTTTGGTTGCAACAATTTCTCCAACTTAATGGAGGGTTTGTCTCCACAACGCCTAAGGAGATTTCTCACTGTATCACCATAAGCACACCTGACCCTAAAGGAGCCCCCTTCTCATCTGATGCTCGCCCAATTCTACTACTCACTATAGGCAGAAGAGCTACTCATTCGGCAGATATTCCAGAATAGGCCAGTACCACTAGAGCCAGGAGTGTCTTGAAATCCCAACCAAACGCTTGTCCAAGCATTAGTATTCTGGAGTTTCCCTTCAACGAAATGGCACAGGAGCCCCAGACACACTGCTCATGGCACATAGCTGACGTTGATGACATTTCCTGACACACGTAGCTCCACCTTTTCAATCCAGTTGTTGTTTAACCACCACGACACATGGCATACCTGTCCTTTGCCACTTTCCATCAAACATCTTTAAGGCACTGCCACTGTCACTAATGCTAACTGAAGAGCAGCATTTTATTATTGTCCAGAGGCATACTGGCAAAGAGTGAGAAGGATTTGGACATTCCAAAGATGAGTTGAGCTATCTCAAAGTTTGCAGATGACGCAAAGCTGGCAGGGAGGGTGAGCGGTAAGGAGGATGCAGAGATGGTTCAATGTGATTTGGACAAGTTGAGTACATGGGCAAATGCATGGCAGATGAAGTATAATGTGGATAAATGATGTTTTCTACTTAGTAGCAAAAACAGGAAGGCAAATTATTATCTGAATGGTAATAAGTTAGGAAAGAGGGACGTGTAAGAAGACCTGGGTGTCCTCGTACATCTGTTGCTGAAAGTAAGCATGTAGGTGCATCAGGCTATGAAGAGGGCAAGTGGTATGTTGGCCTTTAAAGCAGCAGGATTCAAGTACAGAAGCAAGGATGTCTTTCTGCAATTGTACAGGGCCTTGGTGAGACTGCACTTGGAATGTTGTGTACACTTTTGGTCTTCTAATGAGTTAGGATGTTCTGGCTATGGAGAGAATGCAACAAAGGTTTACTGGACTGATTCCTGAAATTGCAAGCCTGAAAAATAAAGAGAGTCAGGTTTAGTTAAGACTGTTTATTGGGAGGTTAGAAGGAGGGGGAAGCTCATAGAAATGTGTAAAATTCCAACAAGACTGGATAGATTAAACACAGGAAGGATTTTCCCAATGTCCTTAGAGTCCAGAACCAGGGGTCACAGTCTAAGAATACAGGGTTGGCTACTTAGTCCTGAGTTAAAGAGAAATTTCTTTACTCGGAAAGTGGTGAGCCTATGGAATTCTTTTTTACCAAAAGCAGTTAAAGGCAAAATACTGGACATTTTCAAGAAGGTGTTAAGTATAGTTCTTAGGGCTAGGGGGATCTAGGGGTATGGAGAGAAAGCAGGAACGTGGTACTGAGTGGGGATGATCAGCCACGATCATATTGAATGGTGGAACAGGCCTGAAGGGCTGAATGTCTTTTTTCTAATTAGCAAAGGCAAACACACAGATCTTAAAAAAAAAAAAGGCTGCACGCACCCCAAAATGCAAACAAAACGCAGGCCTGATGACCAACCACTATTTTACCATCTATTATTGTCTGAGGCACCCAGTTCTCAGCTACTGGGAACGGGTATCAACAAGGTTCTGTTTGTTGGCAGTGCTCAACACAGCTAAGCTTTTTCATGGACAAAGAGATGTTCGTTCCCTCAGAACACAACTCCACTGTGCTCTCACTTCCTCAGCTTCCAGCACATCATCTCACTGACTGCTACAGTTTTGTAAAGTGTAACAATGATGATGCAGCAGAGTCTGGAGTATATGGCAGGAGCGCCCCAGACCGGACCAAGTAACAAATCCACTCAGCAGACTGTCTGCCCCTACCATGGCCCTGGTAAAGAAAGGGCACCATTGTATTTGTGCTTCGCATCCATTAACCATGATTATAATACAATGGTGCCCTTGCTTCATCAGGGCCATGGTCAAGCAGACAATCTGCTGAAATACATGCATGTTGCTTGGTCCAGTCCAGGACCCGCTTGTCCCCCAGTAACCAGACAGGAACATGACAATGGTCCAGGCTGTAGTAATTGTGGCAGCAGCCAGGGTAACAGGCACACCTCCTGAAAGTGGAACTGCTGATTGCACAGCCATTGTACATAAATGAGTGATACCCCTTCCTTTTCATGAACTCTGCACTGTTGCAATTTGACCCTCTTGGTGCCACCTACATGCATTCAATGACACACTGCATTTATGGTATCAAATCACCTATTATTTCCATTCCAATTCCGTGTATGTTCTAAGAGCCAGATTTGCCAAAGGCACTTTTGACGATCCTGCCTTTGAATTTACATATGCACTTTGAAATTTGTCAATCTTAGAGTCCTTTGTTTTCTGAGTCACCAAAAATTGTTCTATTATCTTTCTCCCACAAAGGCTGAAGGAAGTGATTCTTACCTCAGCAATCTTTCAAGGCAGCCTACATCTGCTCCAATAGCGTCACCCATGCCAAGAACTAATTACTCAATAGAATCAGAAGCCTGTCTCTGAGCCACCCTAGCATAATCCACCAACTTAAATGCAATAACTGATAGAAGGAACTCCAAAATGCATAAAATATTGAAGAAATTCAATCTACTTATTCATTTCTAAAAATACTATATTACCATACTGCATAGCATTTAGAAGATTTTGTTTGCAAATTTAATTCAAATACTCCTGGTAGTAGGTCTAAGCTTTCTTCATTATCCAGTTGATGAGCATCTAGTTCACAAATACTTCTGATTTTTGCAAGAACAAAAATGTCAAACCTGGTTTTCACTGTAGGTGGTCACCCACATCCAGATAGCCACCTTATTCCTTCACTGTTCATGTGGTTCAAACTCTGGGGTCATGTTGGGTAATCATACTGACAATGCACATTTGCTTTCAATCATTTCACTCAACCACAACTCATGCAGCTTTGTGTCTTTTTTTCCCTTAACCCTTCAGTCTTGATCTCTAGGTAATATCCTCTGCCAATATGTTTTACTTCAGAAAACCTGTTGAAGAAGGATAGGGCTGTAACTAAACTGTATAAATTTTTATATATAATTATACAGTTACACAGCACCAGTGTACACCTTCAAACAGAACAACCACAGTTTTAACCTGTCTCTATTTCTATGGAGCTCAAATTAATGATTTGCTAATATCCAGCACCTGCTTACAATTAGTCACAATTACCACAATTAATTGAGCCCAATCTTTTTCCCAACAAAATATGGCCATCCTTTGAGATCGGAATTTTTAATATGGGGGCTTACTTGTTGGCAGAAATCAAGGCACTCCCCAAATAGAACAGCCAGCTGTCAAAATCAGGCTTTTGTTCTAAGATAGTGACAGACATTTTATGAAAGGAAAAATATTTTTAAGACTCACTCATATGAGATGATATATTCACTTACTTTCTGTTTGATCTCAATTAAGTTTTTAATATTTTTCCATTTCATTTCCCAAACTTCCTCAATTAACAGTTTAAACACTTTTCTGAAAATAATTACACTAACCACTCAGCTGTACAAACTAGGTGCAAAAAGGTAGAGGAAGAAGTTGGTGGTTGTTGAGTCTGCTTTTCAGCCATAAGATCAGCACAAAGCAGTCTTCTCTTGCATTAGGATGGTCTGTGCCTAGTTTGCAGAAGCTAAATTCATGGAGTTGATTGTTTGCCATATAAGGCAGGTTCTTAGAACTGACCTGAGCCCTCTTAAACATGGACCTCCGTGTCTGCTAAAAGAACCCTTTCCCAAATTTGTAGAGGCTGAAAGAGGCAGCCATTGCACCTGCCCAATCAGGATTTGTAAGTGGCTCCAGCATGATAATTTGTAAAAATAACCTTTCCCTTGGGGCAGGCAGAGCAGATAGAGTAACACTGATATCTTCCTTCAGATAAGCTTCCAGCAGAACTGAGGCCAGTGCTTGCACTGAGTGAATTGATCCTTGGGATTCTATGTTTGATGCATGGTTTTCATATCACACTAAATCTAAAAAAGATCATTGGACTAATTTCTAGGTCATTGTCTTCCAATAGCACTGTGTTACTTGTATTATTTCAAGTGGGTGACAGTTAGCTCAGTTGGCTGTGTGCTGGTTTGCAATACAGAATGATACTAACAGTGCGCTTTCAATTCCTGCACGGGCTGAGGTTACCGTGAAGGATGTCCTTTTCACCCTCTCCCCTTGCCTGAGGCATGGTGACCATCAGGTTAAACCACCACCAGTCATCTCTTCTGTTTCTTCTCCAGCATTTTAAACAAGGGTTCCTAGCTCTGCAACATTTATGCCGTTATCTTTTTTCTCTCTAACAAGGCTGAAACTAATGTCATTATCATTTCAGGCACTCAAGCTTCAAATGCTCCACCTTCTCAGAATCACAACACGTTCTAGATTACAAGCAGTCTGCTCACTGGCATTCCTTTTCGGAGCTGCAACAAGAATAAGTCCTGCACTCTTTTGACCAATTTTCTTTTGAAAGGATTTCCTCCCCGTGTTATCACAGTTCAATGTATAAGTTATTAAAATCATCTATATCCATCCAGCTTCAATTGCAATGACGTACTCAAGCACCCACTGATCACACTTGGCTACTAAACAAGACAACTGATGTGACAAACAAATTAATCTGAATTCTTAAATAGTACAAAAACTGTATTCAATAGTCTGTGACAGTAAACTCTAACCATTTTGCTGGAACATTACCTCAGAAACCAGGATCATTCAACCTTTCATTTTATACCATTGTATATTTCCGTGTTGTGTTAACAATAAATAAAGTACATTCTCAACAGATACCGTATATACTCATGTAAAAGTCAAATTTTTTAGACTTTTTTTTAAGATTAAATTTATGGGGTCGACTATTACTACTTTGGAAGGGCTGAAGTTCATGTTACGATCCAAAATACTGTATCATTAGCAGAAGCCCTATTGATCTCTAAACGAATAAAAAAAACACAACAAATTACGGTAATTACTGTAATATCTTCTAGTTCAGCAGCAGTTTTTGTGCAATCTTAGTTCTCTGCCAAAGTACTAAGTCATGCCTTCTCATGAACTTTGTGCGCCATTCAGCACTTGCCTTCAAATCCGAAATTCCATCTTTCTTTGATTCGTTTTCTGCATGGATTCGAATGGTTTCACAACTGGTCTAGGCCCGAAACGTCAGCCTCTCTGCTCCTATGATGCTGCTTGGCCTGCTGTGTTCATCCAGCCCTGCACCTTGTTGTCACAGTTTCCATTTTGCTGATTGTCAAGTACCCACTCAGCAATTTTTTTTCTCCAATTGTGGTCACATGCTAAGTTTACTTCTGTTGGCACAATTTTGTTTTGCCATTGTCTGAAGTTGGTTTGACATCTTTCTCCAGTCTTTCACAGGTTTCTCTGAAACACAAAATTCTCTTGCTGTTACACAGTTATTTGCTTTCTCTGCAACTTCAATAACTTCCAGTTTAAATGCTGCTGTAGATTTTTTTGATTTTCCAAAGAGCATTCTTACACAAAACGATGAAGTAATTTCAAAACACATAATAGCATGAAAAAAAATCGTTTCCTCATTGTAACACTTATGTACAGGATAATACCTTGACTCACAAATGTTGATCTGTTATCTGTGAAGAACTAGGGTTGACTTTTATATGAGATATATGGAAAATTCCAGATTTTTTGGCCAAAAATAGGGGGTCGACTTTTACATGAGATCCACTTTTCCTTGAGCATATACATTTATTTCCAAGTTGTAATGTGAAATCTGCGGTTGGTTACTGCAATGTTCTCTGGGATATATTACCTGCTAAATTGTTGTTTAAAAGCTGTTTTGACACACATTTCATTCTATGTAACTGATTCAACCACTTCCCTTTGGGGCACACAAGAATGAAATAATAGTGCTTAGAATACCAAAGAGAAATCAAGTTATGCATGGTGTACTGTGAGTAAAAGCAGTAAACTGCTCTAAGTTATTTCACCTCTTGCCAACTCTTCAGATCATTCTTCATCTGACATTTAAAAAGGCGACAGGTAAGTGAGGGTGGGATGGGGATTGGTGCTGTGGGAAAGTGTGGGAGTGTAGGAGCATGGGTAGCGAGGACAGGGGTTGGCTAAGAGCTGGTGTTATGCCTCACAAGGCCTGTTCCCTTGGTCAAGCATTGTATACAATGAGGCCCTTAAGTGGGTATTAACTGCCCAACTAAGGATGTAAATTCACTTCAGCTTGGGATGGTTGTTCACCAGAGGCAAGAAAGCTGGAGATACCACCTGACATCCGGCCAACCATTTAAATGCCCCACGCGCATCAAACACAACCTCAGCTGGACATAAAATTCCACCCACAATGTGTCAAAACATGTGGCTAATTTCATTTCACATGACAGTTAACGTTTTATATTTAAGTACAGACAGAGAAAGCAAAGCTAAATCAGCACAAAGTGCAAACTACCAGACATTCAAGATATATGCAAAGCCTAAAACTGATAGAGAATTGCCTGTTGTGGAAAGCGAAATGAATGTGTCTCTAAGAAGTTTCATGAGGTGATAACTGAGGAGTTTCAGCAAGAAGAAGCAACTGGGTAAAATAATGGGACTAAGGTTGGTGTAAAATGAAGAAGCCTAAGGCACCCTGATAATGGGTCCTAGGTCAGACAGCTGGATCATAGGAGATCATAGAATCCCTACAGCGTGGAAACAGGCCCTTTGACCCAACAAGTCCACGCCAACCCTCAGAGCCTCCCCCTAATCTACACCTCCCTGAACACTATGGGCAATTTAGCATGGCCAATCCACTTAGCCTGCACATATTTGGACTGTGGGAGGAAACTGGATCACCCAGAGGAAACCCACGGGGAGACACGGGGAGAATGTGCAAATTCCACACAGCGAGGTGTCAATAAAGCGAGCCTTCCTCAAGTTTGGTGTAGGACTCTGGAATACAAGGGCAGGGGAGGGAGAAGTGGAGGCTCGGAGGCATGAGGATGGAGATGGTAAGGGATACTGGGAACAGAGGTTGTGTGTGGAGAACAACGTACAGAGGAAATGGAAGTGAACAAATGTGCATGTTTCAGCATTGATAGAATACAACAATAATTTGTGCTGTCCCGATACAGCAGGAAATTAATTTGCTGTCCACACCATTGAGAGTTTAGTTGACCCTTCAGCACCCAAAGTTATAGATTAATAGTTTATTTGGGAAAAGCATAAAAGATAACCCCACTGTTACCAAAGCAGAATTGCAAAACATGAATAGACTGTATTCTATAATGAATTGAAAGATATTCAGTCAGTAAATAGTTACAAATGTCATTTTTATCTCAGTGCATAAATTTCCACCAATTTTGTCTATGCTTATCCAATCTTCCACACAGACTAAATGCTGGCAAGGTTAACACACACGTTTTGAACAGAAATTTCACAGGAACAGAGTCATTGATTCTATGAATCTTTGAGATACACAGCACAGAAACTGACTCTTTGGTCAACTCATCCATGCTGACCAGATATCCTACATAAATCTAGTCCCATTTACCAGCATTTGCCCATATCCCTCTAAACCCTTCCTATTCATATCCTCACCCAGATGCCTTTTAAATGTTGTAATTGTACCAGCCTCCACCACTTCCTCTCGCAGCTTATTCCATACACGTGCCACCCTCTGCATGAAAAAGTTGTCCCTTAGATCTCTTTAAGTCTTTCCCCTCTCACCTTAAACCAATGCCCTCTGTTTTTTGACTCCCCCACCCCAGGGAAAAGACCTTGTCTATTTACCCTATCCTTGCCCCTCTTGATTTTATAAACCTCTATGAGGTCACCCCTCAGCATTCAATGCTCCAGGGAAAATAGCCTCAACCTATTCAGCCTCTCCCTATAGCTTAAACCCTCCAACCCTGGCA